TCGTACATCAGTGTAGAAACAAGTTTTTGTACACAGAAAACAACCAACAACCAGTTTGATAATTATCTAATTGCTTAAGTCATTTATAAAGCACTGGCTCTAGTTTCTCAACTGTGACTATCTGCTGATGTTCTCTGTCAACGATCATTGTAAATTAAACATCTCTGGATTTTACACAGTTTCTTCAACAAAATCAGCAATTTGAAGATATAACTTTGGACTTGCGAGGGTCATTTTTCAATAGTTTCTGACATTTTATGGACTAAACTTAATTATTATTAGAACTTATATGACATTTAATAACAACAAATATTTTATCAAATGTAGGTATGTGCTGACATGGCTCTTACATCTGAAATGAATGGTTTCATTTGAAAATATTTGACAGATGAATTGATCATTCTAAATTGCAGCTCCAACAAGAAACATTTTTTTAGCTGTTTGGTTTCAATTCATGGTATAATTTGGAAAATGTCAACATCAATCACTCAACAACTTGCTATGTGCAATACCATCTGTATGGTCTCTTAAATCTACGTAGCCCATAAAAAAAAAAAAAAACCAACTGACAAATTTACCAAAGAAATCAAGACTCAGCCCATGTTTGTGGAGACTTTGAACTTAACAAGCATTCAACACACTGAAAGATAAACACTGAGTGAACTGCCAACACAAAATAGGACAGAGCCGGGATCCAAGCATCTAAAAACTATGAGCAGGATCTAACAGCTCAGAGAAATGAAACTGGTGGTCTGTTTACAGTGAAATGGAGGGACCATCTTTCAATCAGCTTTTCACAGTCTGTTACATAAGAGGTCACCTCAGGTCAGCTTTAGAAATAACAAACGGTTCTGGCCCAGGGAACAACAGCTGGACAACAGAGTTTTTGTTCTGAAATGCGTAGGGTTCAATTGTCCATAAGAATAAATAAAAAGGAAGTTATCAAAAAGAATACATCACGTAGAAACGTGTGTGTTTGCTCAGCTGCTTAGCACTATATGTTCCTCTTCAATAAGGACAGTAAAACAGCTGGATGTCTTCATATTGGACATTAGCCATTAATACACACACACAGAAAGTACAGTAAACTGTACCTTTGGTGTAATTTAAGTGAAGTAAAGTTTAGCTGCACAAACTGAAACTGACATCTTACCCATGCAGTTGATTTTGCCATTGATGAAGTAGCCATCTTCGCACATGCATTGGAAACCGCCGGGGAAGTTGTAACATTTTTGGTTACATCCCGCAGGAAATTCCGGATCTGAACACTCATCGATGTCTGTCCAGTCAACACATCACATCATCAGCCAGTTCAATCATTTCAAAAGGTTAAAATTATCACTTTTAAGTTGAATTAAGTCTATGCATGTTAGACTTGAGGCATGCGAGTCTTTATTTAAAAGCTGAAGTAAAACATTTAAAATGTCAAATGATGTATCAGAACTCACCGTCCTCACAGCGCAGCCCCTTCCAGCCGGGTTTACACACACACGTGAAGGAGGCCTGGCCGTCCACACAGCGCTCTGTGCCCTCCTTGTAGCATGGAGGAGGCGTGCACTGGTCACTGATCTCTGCCGTGCAACAAACAGTTGTTGATGAAAGCCTTCATAAAAGCATTTCACAGGAGAGGCTAACCTTTACTAGCCTTACAGACTAACTGACATAAAAATGCTAACTAAAAAAAGCCTCTCACCTCTCACGCACGAGCGAAGATCCGATGGGATGACAGAATCCGAGTTCTGGTTACTGATGCCTACACGGTGTGAACCCAGACACGCTGTAAGAAAGAGTGTTCTGCATCAGAATAGGCGAGTAAAGGCTAAACAAAACTGATGATGCAACATATTAAGAAACAAATTAAATTCAGCAAACTTACCAACATATTTGGGGTAGAAATATTCCTGGAGAAAACACAACAAGAGATTTTGTACAATAAGAATGTGCAGAAAGTGAGATTATAGCCAGCTGTGCTCTGAATAAAAAATGCTCTGTTCGAAACTGAAAAATAAATCTGGATGAACCAAGATTGCACATTTCGTTTTTTCTTAATTACACTGGAAGGACATTAAGTCTGTAAAAGACAGTACAGCTTCTGATCTATTGCTGAAATATTTAGTAAATAAATCGAAAGACAATTATTCAATATTGATATTATGTTTTTGCAAAAGTGTCAAAATATTTTTTCTAAAGTGAATGTTTGTTGTTTTCCATAGTACTCTATGATAGTATATTTGTAATATATTTGGATTATGGATGTTAGTGGGACAAAGTAAGACATTTGAAGATGTCACCCTGAGCTCAAGTTGCAATTTTTGCTATTTTCTCACATTTTATAGATCAAATAGATTTTTGATTAGTCAGGAGATTCATCAGTATTGAAAATAATCATTTATTCCTGGTCTGATCTACTGCTTGCGCTTTCTTTCGCTTTCACTGCTTAATTCATCTCAGAATGTTCTTCATCCCCCTTCCCCTGATAATCAGAATTGCAACTGACAGACAAATCTGACACGTGGTTAAGCGATTCAGAGGTCTGAAAACCAGGCTGTCTAGTAAGATGAGGGGGCCGCTGCTCCACTTACCGTCTCTGGCTGGTTCTCAAAGATCTCCCTGGCCTCCTCCTTGTTGCACAGCTCCTCGATGCACTCCCTCTCCAGGTTGCCCTTCTTGCTCTCCTCAAACAGAGAGTTGGCTCTCCTGTGCCTGCTCAGGAACTGGGAGGCCCTGTTCTGGCTCAGGACTAGGAGATACATAAACACATGAACACACACTTATTGAAAGTATATGGAGTAAAATATTTTTCCATTGTCAGTGTTGTGTTTGCTTGTTTTCTATTACAACAATCAGATGTGGACAAGCCTATTACTGTGCACATTACCACTGGAGTGATACTTGTGATACATGCGTGATTACTACAACCAGGCATATGCAGCAACATTACAATAACACATGACTGATCCCAGCTGGAATTTAAGTCCTCATGACAGATGGCTGATGTGGCTGGTGTCTGTTGCATGGACAAAGTGGACAACCTAATTACTCTTCTGTGAATTGGCCTGGAAAAAAAGGTCATTGCGAAACCGTTATTTTCGAGAAATCACCCCTAGTTGTTGTAACAAGCAGCTCACGTTGACCAAGCATTGTTTCACGGTGTTGAAAGGAGTCATGACCCCTCAAGCTTTCGCTTCTCCGTTTGCTGCTCTCACGTTAAACGTTTTTTTTCACCCTGAAGGCATTCCCAACTGTTCACATCCAGGCTGAAAAGCTTCTTTCAATCTCAGGCACTTGAGACTAACATACCGTAACCATAGGCTATTCCGTGAATTACTTTACTACGTGGAGTTAAAAATGTCAACCCTTACATACTTACATCGATAAGCATCGACGAGCGTCACAAGAAATAGGAGACAAGCCAAGGATTCCCCAAGTGCCCGTTTCTTTCTCCACATAGTCGAGCCGTTCTTCCTGCTAGGCCACGGTTTGGCTCTGAGTTCAGACTGACTGGGCACAGGTCCGTGCGAGGGAAAAAAAAAACTTTATTCTTCCCGAAAATGTTTTCGTAGAGGCAGGGGGAGTGTCGGGGTCCGCCAGCAGATGGGGGTATGAGGGGAGGCAGCTAGGGAGCGCTGCTGACACACTCACGCGCACTGCCATTGTTTACTTACATTGTTAGTGCTGGTGCTATGAGTGTCTCTGTCCCCAAACTCACAAGAACAAGTAAAGGGGACAGAACAAGTAACATGAGAAACTGCAGACACACAGGCCTCACATCATGTCTTCTGCCAAATTTTCATCGTTCACTTTAAGTACAAACCATAGAGTATTAAAAAAAGGACAACTTACTTTTGCAACAAATGTCACCTTAACTTACTTGTAAATGGTTTTGTGTTTCTGGAGAAAAATAACTAACCATGCACGAGTACCTTTTTGAGATACTTGTACTTTTGTTATTGTATATCAACATTTTTATTACTTCCATTTTCTGCTACTTGCAAATATGATACTTCTCACTCCACTACATTTGGCCCATTTGTTAACTTTTCGTTTGGCTTGTTATTGTTCTGATTAAGACTAAAACATAAAATATTTACAACTATAAGAATAATAATAAAAAATTGGATTCTGATTTCAATAAGCTAGGCCTTCACTACTCATAAACCAATTTAATATTTAATAGAATTTAACTTGCATATAGGTCGATTGATAAGAGTACAGAGAGTCAACCATACAGTATATCTATAAAATAAAATAAGCTGCTGTACAGGCTGCATGTGAATTCTCAGTGGGTCCGGCACTATTATTATGTACAATGAATGAACCATATTTGTTATTCATATCAAAATGACTTTTTTGGCACACAATTCTGGCTTCATGTTATGATTTGCCTAAATTACTCCTCAACATTTCTCCATACTTGGTGTTCGATTGAAAGACTGAGACAGGATCTTTTTCCTTCATCATTCATGCATAAAAGCTTAAGCATGAGTACATGCAAGAAAGACTAGGACAAGGATCTGAAGAGACACTTGCAAACCGTTTTTGGCGATTTGATTCAACAAGAACATCCAACATCCACACCAAGTTGTTAGGGCAAAAATCAGAATGATTCACTGTACATGATAAAGTAAACTAATGACAAAAACCAATGGACCAATGGGGGAAATAGCGTGAAATCTTTTCAAAGGCTTTAGTCTGAAATTGATTGTAGACCTTTTTACAACAGATGTTTGGTTTTTCATGAAAGGAAAAACCACAGGTAGAAGCAATAACACAAATTACAACTGTGTTCCATTTGTCCCAATAAGCCATGTCATGTCAAAACGTAATGTACACTAACATACAATGGACACATAATCCATCATCATCAAAACAATTTCCTGAGTCACTTTTAACAATTGTATTTAGCAATTGAAAGAAAAGGAAGCTCTTAATGTGAGTTTGTACACTGTAGTTTAGAGGCAGACTAAACTGTTTGATTAACAAATGACACAGACACCACATTTGCATTAATATCGTTTCATTTAGTTATTCAGAGGGAAAAACACATCACATTTTCACCATTCATTCAACTGTTTTATGTACACATATAACAGGCTTACTTTAATACTTTTTAAAATATTTGTACAAAATACACTGTTCTCCCTTTATAATAAGTGTTTATCTGAAGAGGCATCTTACTGCAAAAGGTCAGCAGATGTATGTTGTTAATTTGTGATAATTTGATGGGCTTATTGAGGGGTTGTTAATATTATTGCATGCTGAAACACTATTATTGCATAAGTCATTCCTTTGTGGGCTTCGGGGTGGAGGAGCTGCCATTACTGTAACTGCCATTACCCCACCAACACCGCCGATGTTTCTGGGAAGGTTTCACTGAAAATGAAAAATAATTATGATTTCCAAGTTAGGGATGAGAGACAGAGCTGTTTGGTGGTTTATCACTCCGAGTCTCCTCACTCTTGGCAAAACAACAATAACAAAATGCTGAGTTTCATAAACCTGAGGAGAGTTAGTAACTGGTGGAAACAAACACTCACCAAAGTTCAGAATTAAAGCAATGGTGCTCCCTTAAAGTTTCATCAACATTATTACTGCGTTGCATACATAACATGTTTGGGGAGAATATATTGGCAAAGGTTCCTTGAAATGGAACAGTGGTTCTATACAAGAGGAAAGTGGAGATACACTTGATCAGGCCAGAGTAGTGTTTCCACAGTCCTACTAGTCTTTAGTATAACTACAGGCAGTGATTTTCTCTTTTTTAACAAGTGGGACTCTGCCTTTCCTGACCTGTAACACTATGTGTATTCAATTGGCAATATAACCCGTCATGTCAGTCACTCATGCACATACTGACAAATGCACACACTCACAAACACGCAAATACACATAAAACACACACACACACACACCTCAGTCATTCAACTCATATACACAGCAAGATTTCTGTATGACAAGACAAAGATAGAAAACAGAGTCAAATTGTTGAGAAACCTTCCTTATAGATCAACATATCAACAAAGAAAAGATGTCATCTGAATAATTGCTTATCTGTTTTTTAAAACAGTTTTCATATGTAAAAAAAAATATCCAAACAATTTTTTTTGTTTTCTTTTTCAAAAAGATAATTTTATAAAAGTGATGACTGGCACTGTTTGGGATCCTGTGATCATGGGAACACCCATGAGGCTACATAACCAGGTACTTCATTTTGGAAAATACAAAAATTTGTTGTGATTTGTGACTACAACCATACTTCACATGCAGTGGTTTGGTGAGGGTGAGTGCTGATGGATATTAATGCTAATGAGAGTGGTTGCCTTTGGGAAGCATAGAACAAATCAACCTGTTAACAACAATAAAACCTGTACCTTCAACAGATTCTGGGTCGCTGACCGGTAAGATTCACAGCAGGCATTTTATCAAAGGAATGCATATAAATAGGTTTTAAAATACAGGAGGGGGGGTGGAGGGTAGCTTTTCCAAAGTAAGACTCACAAAACAGAAGAATTACATCATTAACAGGGTAACACAACCAGTAACAAACTATCCATTTCACAATCATAACTTGAGACAAGACTGGTTAAAATGTTAGTATATCGATTAATTAGAAGTTAAGCTAAAAACCATCCTTGTTAATTTCTGCTTTGGCTTTAACTATTTTTCTACTCACACAGAGAGAAACAAACATGCTTTTAAAAATGCTTGCATGCAGTTTGACGGTATGTTGAATGTTGATCTTAGCCTAGACATCAGGAACAAGTACCAACACCTCTTAAAAGACACTGTTTTCCATGCAAATGCACCTGGAACAGTTAGTTAATGTTACTTATCTGGAACTACTAATGTTTATTCACCTTGGATGTGTGTGCATGTCAACTAAGATTGGATTACCAACTGGGCAAAACGGGAAACTACCCAAGGTTCTATGTTCAGCATGTGGTATAACAATTAGTTATTGTAATTTAATTAATTAATTACAAATCTGTTTATTAATTCTGCACACTATATACTATATACACTCAGTGGCCACTTTATTAGGTGCACCTGTACAATATAATTAAATCCAATACAACTGTTCTACCATAAAGTCAACCTTTAGGATTCCTATGATGTTCATTTTTTTGATGTTCATTTTTTTCATATATTGTACAGGTGTCCCCAATTAAGTGGCCACTGAGTGTATATTGTAAAGACATTACAATTTCAGTTTATAGCACAAATTATTTTATTTTTTTTGACATAATCTAATTTCTTTATTAATAGATTGAGATCATGATGGAGTTCAGCTAATCAGGCATCCAGTGTAATTTGTATTACTTAAAAGAGAAGCTAGAACTTGACATCCATAAACTCACCCATGCTGTGCAGTTCAACATACTTTCAAACAGCATACACAGATACAATAAAAGCATCTGTGGGTTTGTCTGACTCAGTGTGAGCATAAAAAAGAAAAGAAAAACTATCCTGTAACTTAGGTACTGGTTACACAGGTGCATGATATCCAGCCACAACAGAACAAGGTTTTAAATGAAATGTGAAAAACTTCAACCTATACATCAACACATTGATGATAAGGATTAAAAACGTGGGATAAAATTGTCCGTGGAGTTTTTTTTGATAGCTAACATCAAGTTGCTCTTGGCGGTGCTTGGTCCCGACAATGCCTTCCTCTGTGCCCTCGTCCTTCACAGACCTTCCTGAGGAGGTTGGGGACAAAACAAAAACAACACTAAAACACTAATTTTTTTAAAAGCAGGTTCACGGGGACACCACCACCCAAGGGGCAAAAAAATCACAGTCCTTCCTTCCTTCCAGAGAAAAATACAATGCAACATTTCAACAACCATTAAAATAACTAAATACAAATCAAACAGATAAAATAAGCTTTTTGAAAGTGTGCTGCGAGGCTTGTTCATCCATAGATTTTGAGGCCACTAAAGTGCGTGTTGGTCACTGTCAAAACTGTCCAGTGAAAACGTTTGTTCTCTTATCACATCACAGAAAGGAGACCCAAATAGATGTATGGTATGATTATCTCTTCGTTCGTATCCCTCCTTTCCTCTGCTCCTTTTTTTCTTGCCGATCTGAGGTCTGTTCTCCAAATTTGGAGTGATGCACCTTGAGACACTGCAAAAACAGTCCATCTGCACAGCTCATTCAGTCTGGTATTGACTCTTAAAACTCATATTTTCCTTAGAACAAAACAAATAAGCCAGTCAGGTGAAACTTGTTTCTAAACCAGCATCACCTGCTTCCAGAAATATCTTTTTTTAGTGAAAGTGAAATTTTCACAGACACGTTGCATTGGAAATGTATTTCTTTGCAATTAAGAAAAATATGCTGGTTCTGGGCATCATAGAAACAGTACACAGGGTCGTGGTTAGATGGAGTAGGTAGAGCTCTCAGACTGCTGGCGGATGTAGCACTGAAAACTCTTGTCTCCAATCGGATGCTCTCTGAGGAAACAAAGACAAAGCAGGTGTTTATGTGTTGCCAGGAGAAAAAAAAAACAGAACATAAATAACAAAGTTTCTATCAAGATCATTAGGCGATGAGCAAAGCTGGAGGCCAAAATATCTCCAAAAGTCTGAACCAAATGTGAATTGGTGAAAGGGAAAATCCAGGAAACACACCACCTTTTAAAGTTACGACATTGGAGTAATTTAAAACGTTAAAAGTACCATATTTTATCTCCAACATACTTTGTACATGTTAAATTAATAACAGGCAACTGTGGACTGTACGACTGCACCACCTGCTGGCCCAAAAAAGGAAATAGCTCAGTATTGAATTAAATTTTTCTCCACAGTTCTCAGCCTCCATTGCATTATACATACAATTACTATAGTTTTATAGCAAAACATAATCTGAGCTACAAGCATAAATGAACAACAAACCACATACTGGCTGCCTATCTTTGTCTTCTTGAACTTGTCACGTTTGTACTTGGTGTGCTGCTGCTCCAAGGTCTGCACCGCTGAAACAATCAGTTTCAGGGTTTTGTAGGTCTCTTGGGGGTCATCGATAACAAAGCTGGAGTACTCCTCCTGTTCGGGCCCGTCATACACAGACTTACTGCCACAGGCCTCTGCGGGGGAAGACATGCAGCAGAGTGAGAGACGGAATAAAAGGGACAATATGTAATTATACACATGCGTTCTCACAAAAACATTCATATCTGACCTTGCATCTTGATCAGTTTGGTCATGTATGTGCTGAACAGGGAATAAATCCTCTCGGTCTCTCTGTCGCCATCTACGTCCAGCTGGATGTTTGCTGGGAGACCGCTGAAAACAGATGCACACAGGAAAATGAGGGAGTGGAAACAAAGAGAAAGGGACCTGATGCTCTACAGTTTTGGACAACTTTACATACCCAGTGCAGGGTGTACACCCAGAGGCCGTGTCTGCTGAGAGCTTGCAGCAGAGCCAGTGGCCATTGAGGTAGGCTGAAGGATGGTAGGTGCTCAGGCGTTTGCGGTTGCACTGGCTGACTTTGGTCAGGATGTCGATCCAGTCGCGCGCCTCAACACAGTTGTTGGCCTGGATGTAGAGTGCCCGCTCCGGCTGAATAACCTGGAACATCTGGAGCAGGGGAAAAGAGAAGAATCTAAATACCTGCTGGAGGGATTTTGGTCAAATGGTCAAAGCTCCAGAGATTTTATAGGTGTTGCTGCATGTGGTTCTTACATTTTTCATCTTGAAAGACTCTTCCTCTAGCCTCTCTACAGCCAGAATGTTCTCTATGGGAATGCTGCACAGAGCGCCCTCACCTGGAGGTAAAAGGAAACACATCAGACATGAGAAATGACAAAAAAGAATGGAGGAATATGTAAAATATTTATCAGCATGAGTTACACACACACACACACACACACACACACACACACACATCTCTTCATCCCGTATTGATTGAAAATTTTGAGTTTTAGTATTAAGAAATATATACATGGTACAACATTAAAAATATTAATTGGTTATATCACTCCTTTTATTATACTTCTATTTGGGGGGAAATCATGTTGAGGAAATACAGTTCTTGTCATTCATTTTGGGCCTTTGGGGATGTAAACAGGAAGCATACTGTTGCCATGGATTCAGTAAGTTACATTTTGCTAACCTGGCACCATTGAAAGCATGTTAGAAGCAGTTCCTGTTTCCAGCGTACCCATGGATGTACAGAAAACGATCACTGGGTTACTTTGATACTGAAGACTTTAAAAACATGATAATTGTCAGGCAAGTTCTGAAGTTATAGGGAGTGACTTTATTGTATGATTTTTATGCAGATTTATGGATGTCTATTCACGATGATTATCATCATTAAAATGTGTATAATGTCTGTGTGTTCCGATTTGACTGAGTTACAACTCCAGTCTGAGTACGAATTTTGAGGCTCTGTCCATGTTGGTTAGTGGGACATATTATAATAATGAATTTCCAGTATTTTTAGAACACCGGCATGCACCTGTCCCTTTCATCTCATGCAGTATCTTTGTCTCACATTTGAGAACTTAAGAATGACAATAAAATTTCAAAAAAGCTAATTATTTTCCTAAGATTTACAACCTAATTAAACATCTCCCTGAAATGTTTTCAATCTTTTATGCAGTTTACTTTAAGTTTTAGTAGCAGTGAGCAGCTCCTCTCTTTCCTTTGTGCTATAAAATTAAAATGTATTTTGGTCTGCATACAGACTAATTTGAGTGTATTTGATTTAGTCCAGTATGTAGTGTGGAATTTAGAAACAGCTCATGTGTATGTTTTGGCCTGAGCTTGTTTTGATGTAGCAAAAAATGTGTTGCCTGCTCAGTAACTTAATCTCCACCATATGTGTTGAACATGTGTTCAGGCTAAATGTACATTCTGCAGATTCTCTCCCTCCTGCGGATTCTTACATAAGCACACATGATGCCCTAAAACAGATGAGGAAACAATGCAACCGTAAGAAGATCCTGAGAAACCCTTGACCTCACCTTTCGTTTTGTGGTAGGTAAACTCGTGGTTGGTGAGGCGAAACCATCTCTTCTTAAAGTTCTTCATTCCAAACCGGTTTCTCCCTTGTGCTCTCTTGATCATAAATCTGAGGACAAATGGGTGAGAGATATTCCACTGAAAACCTTGACAAATGAGCTCATGTTTCACAGAAATGTTTATTTCTCTGGCACTATGCATCCCTTACACACGTATAAAGTGTTAAAATAGTGCAGCACCTAAATGTAAAAGGGTATTAATGAGTTTCTTTACATAAAACTACCGGTAATCGCCATTTCATTCATGTAAAAAAAACTTCAGTACAGCACTCATAGATCTAACATCTGAGTCAAAAAGGAGATGGGTCAGCTGATCAAAGGTGCCCGTATTATTGCATGTTTTGCCCCATGACGTAAAAATTGTGTATAAATCACTAGTTACTTTTTGCCAAATCATAACACAAGATTTTAGATTAATTTCTTTCAGCACATTATGAAAAATCAACTTGCAGACACTCAAGTCTTGAGATAGCTCATCCATGACTATGAATAATTCATGTCATGTTTATTTTTACATCAAGGTTGTATCATCATGTCATGTGGTAACACCATGGACAGGGAGTATTTTGCAATACTGTTGTTGGTGTGTTCAAGCATGTTCTGACCCCTCTGAGTGTTGGCTGCTGAACAACGACACTTTTTTAATGCAAGAAATTAGAGCCGAAACATATCGATAAATCAGTGAGTTGTTCAACAGAAAAATAACTGCTATTTGTTTAGGTCATTTTTTTACACTGTCTCCTTTGGGCTTCTCCAATGTGAGGATTTGCTGCTTGTCTGAGTTTTATATCACTGAAAAGTGAATTTCTTAGATTTTTGGACTTTTGGTCATTCACAACAACACATTTGAAGACGTCACACTGGACTCCGGGAAACTTGGATGGACGTGTGACACTACTGGAATTTTAAGATCATTGATTGATTAAGAAAATAATCAACAGATTAGTCGACAATGAAAATAATTGTCAGTTGCAGCCCTACAAGAAATTTACATTAAATGTTTAGCAATGATGTTCATATTTGCTTACTTTTCAAATTCAGATTTTCTGCTCAAGAGCTTCTAACTTATTAACCAATAAATAAATAAATGCTAGTCCACTATGATGGATTAGCAATCTCAAGGAAGTTTCCAATCTTTGTAAATCCATTTTCACACTGTAATAAAATAAATATGACCAGCCCGTAACTTGAAAATCAATCAAAAAAAAACTTATGCATGCTTTGGGAAATGTTTCACTGATGTGTTGGTAATGGGCTAAAACATGTGAAACCACTGGTATGGTCCTTTAAGGGAGAATAAACATCACAATGTATTTGTTTTACAGTGTGAGGGCCATAGGATACATGGAATATGAAGCACCAGGGTTATAAACACCAAAGTTGCTACGTTCCCACAGGAAGACTTGTCATACTACTGAGCCAAGAATGTGCTGGTTTCACATCTGCCATAACGCGTGGAGCTACGCTGGAAAGTCTAATGTGTATAGTGGTGATATGGTCACAGTCTGGACAAAGGGTGTAAAGGTTCAGGGTGCGGGCAGATATGAGATCCCAGAAATGTTTGTACAGTAACCAACCCCTGCTGCCACTGTCACACCAAGCATGTCTGGCATGGCGAGGAACGAGAAGGGCTATCAGCACTAGTGAAGCCTCCTACATGTAGGTAAGCAGACTCAAAAGTTAACACTTTAATTTATACCATTAAAGGCACTGTACGCATCAGTCTACTGCCACGTAAATGCAGAAGGACTCAAAACCATCATACAGTGTAACAGTCGCTTGATAGGTTGCTTATATATATGTAGGATAGATATAAAGTAAAGTACAGCAGCATCTATAGTAGCGCATGATGTTGGCGGGAGAGAAAATGGCTGGCTTGGTTTGGGGGGGTGGGTTAAAGTGCACACACAGGGGGTTACAAGGGCAAAGCCTTTATATAGAGAAGCTCTTACCTGCCCTTCGTGCCTTTTGAACCCTTCCCATCAACCCTCTTTATAGTGAGTTTTACACTCCTATGCCCGGTAGCAGAAACAAAAGAGGGTGGGGATGTTGATAAGCGAGGCGATGACACAACTACCGTCAACTGGAAACTCTCCTCCACTTTAAAGCCTCACTAGAAATATCAACGGCCACTGTGTTGTCAGAAAGCCTCAGTTTACAGCCTCAGGTGTATCTTTGCTGTTCACTTTGGAAATGAATCAGACCATGAGGGGTCAACCATGTCAAGGCTAAGCTCCACTTTTTAAATTTAAAGGACTACATTTTTGGAAATACACTTTCTGTCAGAGAGAGAGAGTTGGAAATAGAAGACTGATAATACTTGTGTCTGTATAATAAATATGAAGCAACCGCTCTGTCCAGCAGTAACAAAATCTGTCTGTCAGCACCTCTCAAGGTCACAAATTAACATGTTATATCTCATTTGTTTAAATCCCACAGAAACAGAAGTGAGCTGGACTATTTGCCTCTGAACCAGCCAAGAAATAGTCCGGCATAGAGCCCCTTGCAAAACGCTACCTTTATACTTCAGTTTAACAAAGTATCCAATACATTACATGTTAATTAGTGAGTGATTCTGGTTGGCGGATTGTGTTACCCTTGTACAGAGGCAGGATAGCTGTTTCCCTTTGTTTCTAGTTATGCTAACCAGCTGCTCACTGTAGCATCATATTTACTTTTGAGTGAGTGGGATCAGTCTTCTCATCTACTCAACTCCCCGCCAGAAATTATTCCGTTAAGTTATTTCTCTCAGTCTGGATGGATCAGCCTTGGTAGTCAACCCAACTGTCTTGTCTAAAGATAGGAACAACTGCAGAGACAACCCTAATAAGGTAAAAAGACAAACATTGAAGCTGCTTCATTAGGAGGGAAAACGTGACTGACACAGTACACAAGATGATTATAAAAATCTCAAATTACCAGTCCATAAATTCTCTAAATTAATCTCATATCACATATTTTGGTTTCTATCCATGAATATCAGTTTAACCCATTAGTTGGCTCCTCACCCCTCTTTGAGCATGATTGGTGTTTCAATACTCTTCTGATCCCATTTGCCAGAAGTGGAGATCAGGTCCAGGAACTGTTGAGGGAAGCAAAGGATGTCACATATCAACATAATTACTTTTGTTAACTAAAACCACGCTTTGACGTCCCTCTACCCACTCTACTTTTTCAGTTCTCATCAAATGTCTCCACTCTTAAAAACACATTTCAATGCCAATTTATTTAGTTTATCTTTATCTGACATACAAGACAAAAACGATACTTGATCACGGATCTACAAAATGGCAGAGATTTATTGCACAAACAAAGCAAGAAGTTGAACACTCACATTCTTCACAGCATCCGCATATTTCTGCTCATTGAAGTAGTCATAAAATGCAGCCATGTAAGACTCTTTGAAATTGGCCTGGAAATGAATAAAAGTTTTGAAAGAAAATGTGACAGTGAGAAAGCGAATTGTGTTTTGAATTAAACTTTTTACACTGAAATAGAAATGAAATCTAGTTTAGTAAAAGGAATGAAAATAGAAAAATACACTTTAATCAGAGAAACTCACAGATTTCGACTTGGCAAGACTTCCCAGGGTCTGTATCGTCTTTGAGATGAGGGTGAGGGTTCGAGAGGTGGCGGGATCCTAGGGAGACAAAGAGACATGAAATCAAATCAGCAATCCCACTTGACCACATCTTATAAGCACTGTTAAAGTAATGTTAAACACACGGTTGGGCCATATAAACAAATTATTATACATTTACGAACAACTAAACAAACTCTGCTGAGGAAAATCATGTGATTATAATGGAAAGCTACTGTGTCTGAGGTCTGAGGTGTGTAAATATATATATATAGATTGCATGTGTGTGTTTGTTCTAAAAATTAGACTCACTGGATGGTGTGGCCGTAGATGGAACAAGTTGGGGGAGAGAATGGCTGGAGCAAAGAAACGCAGGAAAATGAAACTGCTTACTGCGGTGTATCGGACATCTTGGTCAACTAGAGAGCAGAAAAAAACAGGGATTCATCACACACAATTGCTTTCAATTTATTTGCTTAAATTACATGCAAGACATTGGATATAGTGTCAGTGTGTTTAATATGCTTTCTGAATAATATAGAAAATGTGTTTTGTTCTGTTTTATATTGCCCTTTTAAATAGGAACTGCTTAAGGCTTTGTATTTGTATTTAGATAAACTGTAGGCTTGCTTTGTAGCAGGTTTTTTGCTGTACAGTTGGATTTTTTGTTATTTTGTTGTTATATATATTTAAAATAAATATATTACTACATTATTAGATGTTTTGTAAATCCATGTGGGATGATCCAGATATTTGGCATGACACAGATTTAAAACTAACCCACTATCCATTTTTAATCATGTATAACAGCTTGTTCTCCTGTTAGTGCAGTGCCAGTGATGGCCATCAGGGTGTAGTGCAGTATATGACCATGGGTGTGCAAAATCCACACATACCCTTAATGAGTGTGTGTGAGGCTTAAGTGTTTTCAGGTTTGACAAACATAGCAGAACACAAAAAGAAGAAAGTGTCCTTTTTTGCGCATGATGTTCTTTACTGTCTATTTCCTCTTCCCTATTAGCTGCTTGCTTTCTTTCTTCCATCTCTTGTAAGTAATTCAGGAGGTGAGTTACCTTGGAACCGGGTGGCAGCAGACTCTCTCAAAGAGAAGAAAATATCACACATGACGGTGGGACAGCGAACGCCAGAAGTGGTGATGACAGTGAAAATACGGTCTACATACTGACGAAGGTTTTCCTGAGGGGGGAGGGCACATATGTCAGATGACACAGTGACCACACACAAATACAAATACACAAACAAACACACTCATCTCTGTACCCTGTTCGTGTCCAGGTTCTCAGACTCTTTGAGCTTGACCGGGTCGATTTCACAGGGTTTGTGTTCTGTGCAGATCTGTGACAATATTTTAAAAAGTATACAAATAGCCATTATTAACGGATTTAGCAACAGAGACATGTGACATGAATCAAGTCTGATATCTGGTAAAACAAAGTGACAGATACTCTGAATAAAGGAAAACAAGCATGGAAGTATCATATGCCATACCTCATCTATGATGGGTTTGAGTGTGACTTGCAGATAGTGCATCCCGGCCAACTTCATGGTCTCATCAATGCACTTGGAAGTCAGTGAGTTTCCCCGGAAAATGGTGTTAGGATCCCTACACAGAGAGGAGGATGAGGTTTTTTTTGTACAAACTAAAAAAAACCAAAATACAACATTCAAATGTACTCATATTATTGCTAACAAAGCTAATAATGCTACAGTATATATCTAACAAATACAAAACAATAACAAAATTATTTTCTAAATAAGGAAATCCTCCAACATCTGATGCGCTGTGATAAATACACTTTATAGAATGCCCACAAAATGGGCAGTGAATTATTAGTTGTCGAACTGTGGTTTCAGGTGTTATTCCAAGGGTAAAGATGCGACAAGACACTCACTGCGTGCGGTTGACTTCAGCATGAGCGATGGCACTGATGAAAGGCACAATCTTGCCGTAGTGGAGAAACAGGCGCACGAGGGGAATGGCGGCTTCTTGTTTCTCGCGACATACCTCCCCCAGGATGTGAGCCGTGGACGCCGACACAGGCTGAAGAGTAGAGAAGAGTAAACATGTAGCAATCAAACAGCAGTTAACCGTGTGAGATGCTGGTCAAGATCAGAGACACATTCATATACACATACCCCTACGTTAGCAGAGTGCAACAGTAGATCTCTGAGGGGAGTGTAGTGTTCGGAGGGGAAGACGTGGTCTTCGGTGTAAACGATGTTCAGACGCAGAGAGCCGAGCTCTTCTACTTTCACTGACTTCCCTCCATTCTCTCTAGGCTGGAGAAAGTACCTGAACAAGAAAAAAGTATATAAGATCTTAAATCAGATCTTCTCACTGACTGAATTTTAATGAAACCTGAAGGGATGATGCGTGACAACTGTCTAAATGTAAACCTCATTTCAGGCAGCTATTTTCAATGTGAAAGCTCTAAAAACCCACCATTCACTACCTGCTCAGCAACAAACAGCAGGCAGGCACAGTTAGAGACTAGCTGGAGAACATAGTGGAGCATTTAGCAGCTAAAGAGCCAGATATTTCAGGAGTTGGTGGACACCAAAAACAGAGGTAAAAACAGATGAATATTGGACTTACATACCTGGGGTGGCCACAAACATGACTCCAAATGAATGCTAACATTGCTCTGTGTACTAATTCAGTGGAAAAACCCTAAAACAGACCCAAGATGATGTGATGTGTGAGTGATGTTCCTCTAACCATGCGTCGTGGACCCCAGCCTGACCCAAGACCCGAAGAGGAACACGCACACCTCCCAGGAACTCGTCCCCGAACTTCAGGTTGCTGGCGTTCCACAGATCCACCCTGAACACAAACCAAAATGCCAGAGTTCAAAAATGTGAGAAGCTTTTAAACGTTAGAGGTTGAGCACTGATACTAAGACAACCACTGGCTCACCTCAGGGCCAGCTTGTCAACATCCTCCTCTTCAACATCAAAGTGCCGCTTTGTGTAACTTAATGGCCGTGTCACCTGGAAGTGGAGACAGAGTAAACATTTAGCAAACACAATGTGGACGTTGTTTTTTCCTCCTGGTAAGTTGCATCATCATCTACACCCTGAAAAACAGCAAACACAGACTGTTGCTCCAATAAAACAAGCAATTTATCGAGAAAATAATCAGCAGATTAATAAATAATGAAAATAATTGTAAGTAGCACCTCTAATTGAGACTTCACTCAGAGGCTTCACTATTACATTGCAAAGCATATAGTGTGGAAAAACTAATTTTGTTCCATTGCACATTAAGAAACTCTAAGCTCACTATTTGGCAGCTTTGGATCCAGATGGGCGCTAACAGAGACCAGAATATAGCAGGGTCCAAGTAAGTTCGAAGCAATAAGAAAATAAAATTCCAAACAATATAAAAGGACAACCATCTGACAGAAACATGACAGATAGCCTGTGTTTGCATGTTTGCATGTGGATCTGTTCGTGACTCAGAGGGGGGCTGCAGACCGAAAGCACCACAGGGTCCTGCTCATGTGGTGGTGGGGAATAAATGAGATGGTCTTGTCGGATAGAAATCAATGGGCCAGATTGTTTGGTAGTTTGTGCGAATCAATCATACTCTTGTCCTGCTGTCATCTAGTGCTGCAGCGGCGAAGGCCAGTGGGAGGAGCGACACAAAAATGTTAGAGCAGTGCTGCTGGTGAGCGAGGGTTAATGGGGGCAGTGTGAAAGGGAGTTTGTGTGTGTATGTGTGTGAAAGTATCTATAAATATAAACTCATGACTATAAATAAATTAAATAAACAGTAATTTTTCTGAACTTTCAACACATGAATCTCAACAGTTACAAAAGTAATGGTATGAAAGTGAGTTTGTGAGCGTGTGTGTACAAAAAAATTTCTAGTCAGACAAACATAATATACAGCAAACAATTACACAGTGTTTCCAGTTGGTTCTGTTAATTTCTGCATAACAGTTACACAAAAAACTAGTGATAACTGGACTGACTGTAACAATAAGCTAGCGCTATTAGTGCTAGACAGCTAGCTCCAACAGAGAAACATCTTTAATTTTGTTTATGGTTTTATGTTAAACTAAATTATATTGTCAATGTTTGTCAATGAAAATCTTTAATATGACCAAATAATATGGTCCCCAAATTTTAAATATGTCCAAATATCTTACTAAACTCCATGTGGTAATGAATACATTATATGAGTGCATTAAAACAAAGTAAGAATAAACTGACTACTTTTTTAAAACGAGAAAGCTCTCAGTATAAGAAGGTAAACATCTGTTCTTAAAAATATCTTGAACCTACCTGGAACCAGTTTTGGTATATAACTTTGAGCCTTAATTTCTCAAAACCACTCAGATTACATATATAACTTTATAATCCCAAACTCACAACATGGGAAAAAATAGAAGCAGTAGATATAATTACATTCAGAAGAAATCAGAGTTATATTAGTCACTTTGGTTCTACGTCTGTTATTAAAGGCCCTGTACATCCACAGAGGCGTTTCCACATATTCTGTTTAATTAGACCTCTGCTAAGGTTAAAGTTGGGTGGAGCTGTGCTGGAATTACATTGTTCCAAAATCTCAGAAACCAATAAGAAAGATAAAGGTGTAACTTCACCCTCCCAAACAGGTGCATCAAAAACAATATTATAGTCAGAGAGTTGACAATCAAGCCCAGTCTGACCACACTCTCACCTGTGTGTAAGATACTTACACAAAAAAAATATACACAAATTATTTATTTAACAATTTTAAAATGTACAAACAAAAAACTCTGTGATCAGAAACATAGCCAAATGTATGTGGACACTACTGTCCAATTAAGGAAAATGCTAATGCTATAAAGTACAATGACAAGGATTTTAAACAGTGTGCCTACAACTTTGTGGCAACAGTTTAGGGAAAGGCGACATGACAATGTCCCTTTCAACAAAGCCATGATGTCCTTAAAAGTACAATTTGTAATTTCTGGTCACATGCTCTAAACAAACTGGGGGCAGAATTGTGCAAGAACTGCATGATTTACTTAATGCAGCAACAACACTGTTCAAGACTGTATACAGTTGGTTATGTGTAATAAACCTTGTAATGTCCTCAAAAATGTATTGCAACTTTTGAAACTGCCTATCTTGCCTCATCTCATACAAGTAATGCTAAGCGGTTACAATATGACAAAGTGATCTACATTTTTTGAGTTGGTCTATTACTAGGTCCATAGAATCTTAATTTAAAGTAACAAAAAACTACTAATAATTAGCAGCAGGGCAAAAATCCCCATCTTTGACCATACTGCTGAATATCTGAGAGCTGGTCAAAACAACACTGCTATCTTAAAACCTAGATTTGGGGAATCGGTCTATAGTTTATGTTATAGCTTAGCTTAGTTTTGGCAAGAACATAGTAGCAAGAAAACGGCCACATCCAAATCATTTATTGACGCCATTTGGAGTGTTTAGTTGCACCAAAAATCTACTTCTCTAAATACCTCAAGTTAGATGTTACTTATCAGTCTAAAAGAAACCACATCTCTTACTCGCCAAGAGCTGTCTCCAGCAGTGGAAAGCCACGGCAATATTTTACTGATACGTTTTGCTTCTTTTTATGTTGCTTCTTTTCTTTACCATCTTTGTTTCTGTGACACTAACCAGGGCCTGTACGTTACCTTCAAATTCAAGTCTCACATAGCCAGACCTATTATGACAACCCCTCGGGGCAGACTAGATGCTACGGTGACTAATTTTTGTCTCTTGAGGCACAATTGGTATTACTCAGGATGAGCCGGAGCTAGCAGGTTAGCATGCTAATTTCAGTAGATATCTCTGCAACAAATTACATAGACGTCTTTGACATGACGTCAGAATGGTTACGTCTTCACATTCTGTTGATAAGGTTAGTTAATTATATGGATGTTTTAAAATAACTTATGGTCAAATCTTACACATTGTACCTTTAGAGAAATGTTTTTTCTCACTGAGGAGGAACTTGATTGTCCTGCATAGACATCCTTCCCACCAAACACCTTAATGTACTACAATGCAGATTTGCGAGCCAGGCCTCATAGCCCAAACATCTGTGGTCAACCTAACTAATGCTCTTGTGGCTGATGGGAGCAAATCCCTCCATCCAGGTGCCAAAAGTGTATAGGTTGTTATACCAGGATAATAATGGGCTAGTTTTGGAATAAATCAACAACTAGGTATGATTATACTGTTCAGGTGTCCGCATACTTTTGGTCATGTACTGTATTTATGAACCCCCACTATCTCTCTGGCGTTGACTGATACCCAACATGAAAACACATCTTTACAATGACAGACAAGTTAATGTAAAACAAATCACACACAGAAATATTTACCTCAAAATAGAAAACCTCATCAAACTGTGGATTGTTGGTTTTCCTCTTCACCTTGGTCTTCTTGGCCTCTGACCTATTAGAAGCAGACATGCAGAAGGAGATTAAAAAACACATCTATTCAAAGTTAAACATGTGATAAACAGAGTTGTGTATGGTGATTAGTAAAATCATGTCTAATCGTGAGAGATCTGACCTTGAAGGACCTAGTAAGGAGACAGCAGCGTAAGGATCACATTGGCCGTTGACGATTGGAAGACCTTGGCACTCCAGCACTCTGTAGAAACATACACAAACCATTAATGAATATGCACACTGCTGCACTAGCATAGACTTACACACGCACACACCTGTAACACATTAACGTAGTGCTAATTTTAATGCACCATTAGCCCTGTGTGATCTTATCCAATGCCTTACTCTGACTGCCTCCCCTTATCGCCCAAATGTCAGGGATCATAGTATTAAAAGTTGAAGGATAAAAAAACAATTTCAAAACCTAATATACGAAAAAAAGGTCTCCGAATGCTAAATGGCAGCACAAAACAATTTTCTCTCAGAGGACTACTGAAGCTCTTTTAAGCTCTATATTATCACATAATCAAATGACTAATGGGTCACCACCACTGCTAAGACCACTGAGAATAGACACCCAATCCCACACTCCCACACACAGAGACGGTATGAGTCTCACGGCTCTCCTCCTAAACAGTCTAAAACAATATAACGCTATTTCCAGTATACAAGAGGATAAGCTGAGTCTATGCTACCTGCCCAGCATGAGACAGGAAATAAGAAATGTGAGCATCTAGCAACTTAAGAAAGATATTCTCCACCGAAGTTGGTGGAGACCAAAGTAAAGATTAACAGGTGATCAGAAATACAACTTCACCGTGATGATAATTCTGCAGTTGTGATTCTGTTAGTTTTGGAGGATTTCTGCTCCCTAATGGTAAAAAATGCCTTAATGCAACTTTAACATCACTTCAACATTTCTTGTTTGAAGTAAGTCTCAGCTCTGAAGTGACTAAATAAAGAAAGAAATAACATAAAACATCCATGCTAGTGAAGAGGTGCGGATGAGATGCTTTTGTGTGGATACAAGAAACATGTCGCTGCTATCCATTAGTTCCTTTTCACAGCAGCAGTTCTGACTGCTGGAAAAGCACAGGTGTAATTAATAACATTAATGATGACGCTGCACCATTAAGTGTCCCAGTAAGCAAAGCACACGTAATACCAATGCTCTGAAACTTGCACACCTAAATGGAATGCATCCATGATTAATGTTGTTTATTACAAATGTGCTTTTCCTGCTATGCTTTACCAGATACAAAACGAATCCAAAAACAATTAGCATCTACAAATTTCCAAGCTGCCTGTTTTTCAGATATGAAAAAAAAAATCTCTTGTTCATCAGAACTGTAAAAGCATTTATTAAAAATAAACTTTTATTTTAAGTAATGCACATGAACCCCCAAATTTACTTTGGTGACGTGGTGCACAACAATAAACCTATACAAATATAAAAATATGAAATATACAAGATATACCAATTTAAAAGAATAATAAAAACTATGTGCAATATGGTAGTTACTAATGATCTATATAAGTGTTTGGGTGAAAGATGTTAGACAATATCTAAAGAGAGCATCATATCAAGCAATCCAGTCCACTGCCCCCTTTACACTAACATAAAACATCTGGTCCATTTCTACTGTAGCTCACTCCTACGCTGGGAGTCCTTGCCAATGAAATTTGGACCAAGTTAAGAGCTCTCTGAGAGTTTTCTCAGCATGTGAAAATGGCCCGTGGTGTCAATGTTAGGTGTGTCTGTATGTAAGAAGGGCAGACACAGAGAACGGGGCAGATGAAAAGAGATGGGGGGAAGTAATTCCATTTGAGCTGTTGGCAAAGAGTTGTGCCAATTGTAAATACTTGTGTGATCTAGCAACAACATACACGCCATAGGCCACTTGAGAGAAGCTAGGGGGAAATAAAATAAGATGCTGAAGAGAGCACATCTTGAGGAAAATGGACAGACCAGAGTATATGAGAGAAATAGGAATAGAAAACAAAGCATAGACAGGATTTATAATCAAATGTGGGTCCAGAGTAGGACAAGAAAACAGCAGAATGAAATAAAAATTTTCTTTCAAGTTCTGCAGAAATTCCATTTTCCAAATCACATCGCATACATTCATGTATGTAAAGATTTATACACAGCCATATAGAGGAAAAACTATAACTATTTAAAAAATTTAACTATTAAACTAATATGTACTAAAACATACAATTTGTATAATTTATATTCAATTTAATTTAACGTTATTATTATTATTATTATTATGGCATACAATGAAACAGTCTTGTCATGCCAAGACAGTGCAACCAGTCTGGAAACCAGTCTGAAAAAATGATGTACACAATTATGTGAGGTAATTTTAAGTGTTTGCTCTTTTATACACAAACATGAGTACAAGCAGACATTTTGTTTCAACAATTTATGTCACCACACTATATTGTACTTATGCTTTTAACTGTATGTGCAGTACAAAGTATACATACAATATCTGTATGTGAATAGAACTTTTGAATATATATTTTCATTGATTATAGATTTATTATCTATTTAGAGTTATTATTTTGAGTTATTTCCTTAAATATGGTAGTAAAGGTATAAAGGGGTAGGAGTACATAAGTTTTACTTCTTCCTACTCCTTTTTGCACATGTAAATAGAGGTTTTTAGAATAAGAATAGAGTTTTTCTTTGTTGTTCATTTGTTTTTTACCACTATTTTTTGTTTAATTGATTTTTTTTTTATTTTCATGTTCAAAATAAAGATATCAATTCAAATCAAAAAGAAAACATAAGGTTCTAGTATACTCAGTACTCAATCAACATTATGTCACAGATAATGGCAATAACATACATATGAAAATATCTTGTCAATGTTCTATCTGCATGAAAGTGAGTTCAGGTCCATATTGACGGGTGACAGGTTCATATTGACCTTCTGATATAAAAACCATCATCTTTAAAGAAAGTATGTCGGTGTTGTTTGGGGAGCAGAAGCTTAGAATTGGTTTCACCACTGTATTTATCTATCTCTCTATCTATCTCTCCCTCTCTCTCTCTCTCTCTCTCTGTTCCTGTGTCACGGCTGTCTGATGACATCATGCTGTGAAGGGATTAACACCCAAACAGGACAAGACACCCAGTAGGACGTATCACTTCCTGTGTGTCACGGTGATGCACCACTACTCACACTGCATGATAGATTACACAGCAAATCACAGCACTGCCCACAACTGATGTGACACACGCATGCAACAGCTTGCACCATCCTGCTGACACACATACACACAGGTTCTTGAAAGGGAATAAGGAGTGGGCTGGGTTAAGCATCACTAATGCCAGAGCACTTCCTATCCAATAAGCTTGTTTATATAACCCCTGCTTGGCCTACAATCCAGCCGCCTCTCTCTCTCTCTCTCATCACCGCTGTGAGCTCTGACGTGCCAGACAGTGGTGGTGAAGCAGACTTGTTTGTTTTAGTCGACGTTACTCATATTAGGTTAATGTGCCTCTTTTCTGCGCCCACGTTTTCCTGTCAAAAACTATTTCACTCATTCACAATTAAGAGGGAAAAGAATTACATCATAGTGCCACAACTGTGCATACAAAAAAGCGGATGTGATTATCAGTCCGTGTCATTGATGGGTGCACCATGCCAAGTAAGTGAGATGAAATCTTAAATTAAATGAGAACAGGGACTTGAGTATCTTCCAACAATGTGTTTGGCTATGACATGCTTCCTGTCCTCAGATGTCACTTATGGTCATGGCAAAGCCAACTACATTTCTGTCTGTGAGCATTTTCCAGTGAAGAAGTATTACCGCTGTTGCGGAGTACAGCATACGTTAAAAAAAATCCGTTTGTGGCTCCAGGGGAAGCTGTGTGATATCTGATAAATTGCCTCAAGTGATGTCAGCATCAGTTGGGACTGAAGACTACAAGATTAAACATTTTCAAAAAGCTGGTGGTGTGAAGTTAGAAAGAAGAGCGCTTACCAGACCTGTGTCCTTATCTCTGCTTGAGGCTAGCTGCTAGAGGCTACATTAGTTGAACTGTTGGCAGTGGAGTTGCATTATTGATAATGTAGGTGCTGGGTTTTGACAAGGAACAAGAATGTGTGGAATAAAAAAGACAATTTCTGTAGTTTTGATTTTGATACTTTTTATTTTAAACTGTCCATTGAGAGTCTGACAATATTATAGGAGTGAAATGCTAAATCAGCGGAGTCCTCTTGTAAGTAAAAATGATTCTTTAAGTAAAAGTATTGGTAGAAATATGCACTTACAGTATTAAAAGTGTAATTATTATTCAAAAACTGACCACAGAGAGTGTTATATTATTACACACTATGTTATTGGGTTACTATTAATGATGCATTAATGTGTAAGCTGTATTTTACAATTGTAGTTGTTGGAAGTAGTGCTGATTTGAACTTTATATACAGATGGGTGGTTTAATCTACAACACCGCATCATATTTTATGAGATGATCAATTTATTTACTGGTAAAATCTTCATCTTCAAAGTAAAAGGTACAGTATTTCCCTCTAAAATGTTGTGGAGTATTGGTAAAAAGTAGCAATATGTGTTTTCATTTTTGTACTTTTTTGTTGCTGTCACACTTCATGTCAGTTTATTTAAGAACATTTCTCACAAAATCCCTTTAAGTGAAATAATGTGCTTTCTTTCAATTAGTTTGATGCGTAGAGCTGAATGAATGCAGCTCTCTCTCCGTCTCCCTCATGCACGTGTCTTTCTAGAGAAATCTGACTAGATGACCTCCTGCTCTAAGCTCCTTACCCACAGTGTGCTCTGGGAATGGAGCCATGCTGGCTCATCATCAGACTTTACTGCTGCATGTTACAGAAGAAGAGCTGGAGAGCAAACAAGCACACACACATTCAAGCACAGAATAATCCATCTATAAGCATATCAGTTGATCCCCACTGCAAACACTGAAGTTCACACATCACACGCACATACAATCACATTTTACACACACACCAACACACAGAAACAAAGTATTGAGAGCAGATTTATGAGTTCATGGCTTCCACATCCACAACGTATCCATTCACACAGCTGTTTCCATGCAACAAGCCATGCACCTTGGAACTAGGGAGAAGCAATTTGCATGGGGTAAATGTATCCATTCTATTGTGGTGCCCTTCAAAATTCCAGTTGCGTGACTCAACAGCCGCAAGTATCCGAAATCTAAATTTACAGCTCACTAGGAAGTGGTGAATGAGTTAACTAAAAAGGGATTTCTGACACAGCCCAAAGTTTTCTCCCACGCATTATGTAAAACAACTGCAAACTGTATTAAAAACAGGTCGAAAGGTGTAGACTACTTGTGACCACATGTAGCGTCAAGCCAACCACGGTGTTGATTTACATCTATGAGGCTGCACAGCACTGATTCAAGCAGAATGCTAATGTCAGAATGCTAACATGCTCACAATGACAATGCAGACATGCTGATGTTGAGCTCTTTTTTTTTTTACCATGTTAACCATCTTAAATTTGTGGTCATAAACAAGGTGAAATTTTGACCTGATGGTGGCTAAAGTCAGGGGACCACCAAAGGCATCAGGAGGAATCCTCTGGGGACATGAATTTCTGTACTAAATGTTAAGGCTCTCATGGATTTTGAATGCATTACAAAGCTGTGTTTTCAGAAAATTTCTTTACAGTAAAGAATCAATTTTTGTGACTACAGGATGTTGTCAGGAAGATCTTTCTAAATTTCTCTTAAAATATATGGAAATGATTTTTATAAAACTGCAAGTCAAATAAAACTGCAAGGTGTAGAATTGGTTATTATGAACAACACAATCCATGTGAAATAAATCTAGAAAGGACTGTGCATGTGTGTGTGTGTGTGTGTGTGTGTGTGTGTGTGTGTGTGTGTACAGTCTCACCGTGTGGCTAGTTTATGGTTGATGACTCCACTGTCTGTGATGACTTCACTCAGACGCAGCTCCAGGTGCACTTTTCCCTACAGAACACAAACACACAAATAAATACTTTTTTTTTTCAATGACAGTAAAGAATTTAAATGTTCAAAATTCTGCAAAAGTACCTATGAACACCTGAGCGTCTAGTAACACCGGTGTGTCCACGACACAGCCAGGTGCCCGATGGCAAACCCTGCATTTCCAGTTTGATTGTGTGTATGTGAAATTGAGTTGACTTGTGACGCAAGACACATTTCTGCTGAATCTGACAACAATATGCAACTTAATCCACTCTAAAAAATTGTCAGATTTTAAAACCTGTTTTAGGCTTGGTGAAAATCCCCCTTTCACACTGAATAATCCAACGGGTCTCAACTTATAAAAGCACATAATCCTTCATATCTGAAAACACATTACTTACCAAACATGGAGATCCGTGTTATATTGGACAGTGTAGAGTCTACCTGCCTCGCTTTTAGATCTAATTGCCAGTTTATCAACTCTCCCAGTACTCAAAAATCTAAATCCCCAATTTAAAGTAACATACAGTATATCATGTCCTACATCTTATGCACAGTCTATATAGTATTAAAGACAGAAATGGTTGAAACATAAAACACCTGATCCATAGAAGCTATGAGCCAATAATACACTGATTAAAACAAATAAGCCTTCTTTGATAATTTCCCCGCACAAAAGAAAAACACACACAAAAGTGGCATTCCTCATCCAACAGAGACACTGAGTGAAAATAGCTGCGAGCCTGAACATCATGCTGAAGTTATTTTCCCTCTGAAGTGATTGGATTAATGACATAATGACAGTGTAGTGCTGCAGCTGTCTAGAAAAGCTCCACTAATTAACAGAATCAGTATGCAAACTCACAGGCGTTGCTCTTTCTGGCTGATTCAAGCGGAGGGAACAAACACACGCACTTACACATGTGCGCACAGGCCAAACAATGTGTCCTCTATTGAAAAGAGAAGAGAGACACTCTATCTTCCTACTTCATTTGATCCATCTCCCTCGCTTTGTCTCTTCTCGCTCATTCTCTCACACATCCTTCCTCTCCCCGGCTCCTCAAATGAATGTGTCTCTGTTTCAGATCCCTGCTCCAGGGCTACACGTACCATCTGTCTGCAGATGTTACTGTTCACTGTGTATCTGACTGTCAGTGTGTGTGTGTGTGTGTGTGTGTGTGTGTGTGTGTGTGTGTGTGTGTGTGTGTGTGTGTGTGTGGTACTATGTGCTGTCTGTGCATGCATGTGTGTAACCATGCGTGTGGGTGAGCTGCACTGCTGAATACTGAATAGTAGAAAATGTTGCACATGTAATAAATAAGCATGTGGGTAGGCAAGTGAGCGAAGATGCAACAGCTGATTCCTACAAACTACAGATGGCAGTAAAACTGTAAAAAATAAAATAAAGCTAGTTGTCTCTGTCTTACCCCAAGAGAGGTCAAGGTCAAATGTCTTAGGTCAAATATTCACATGTGTGCATGTTTTTTTTAAAACTTGCCGAGAATATCTCATCAAAAGGGTGCTAATATAGATAAACAGCTATCAAACAGAAAAGGCTACTAAATTCACTTTTACCCATTAATTGTGCTTAATTTTCTCCACTGTCACAAACAGTGGCAGACTGAAAACTTCACACTCCAGCATTTGAGTAGTTCCTAATGTTTGGATTAGTGTTTGACTGTGCATTTGATTTACATAACATGACAGAGAGTGCCATCTTGCTATCTTGATCTCTGTATTTCAGTAACACGTGAACATGTGTAACAATGTTAATTAATTGACCTCAGGCAGACACATTCGTATTGCCTTAATAAAAAGTTCATGACAAAATGAACATTTGAGATCAATGTGAACATTTCAGTCAGGACTGTCTCTCAGTATTCCCCAAAACAACAGGAATGATCTGCTTTTACCTCCATCATACAAGAAGTATGAACATACAGTATTTCTTCACATTCAGTAATATCCTGTTATTATTCTCAACAGCAAATCAAAACCACAACCTGCAACACAAGCACATATTTTACCATCTATCACGGCCAGCAGTCATTCATTCATGACATGCGAGAATAAGGAAAATATAGTGATTTTGATAAAAACGGCGTGTTGGCTCTTTGACCTGTGATGGAGGTGAACCAATGGGATATACAGTATACATGGAAAGCAAGATGACTTTGACCCTGCAGGCTCAGATGTTTCAGGTGGAAACATGCTGCGTTTGTTTGACTTCCGCCATGCTTTAAACATTAACATGCAGACACACTATCACAAATCTACGCACATACTGTATGCAGGGTAAGTGTCTAAGGCTGAGTGTTTAGTACATTTACAATACATCAATTTCCATCAAAAATTCTTTATATCTTTTAACAGAAGACAAACTTCTCAAATGTTCAAGCAAGTTTAGGAAACGTTTGCTAAACAGCACCTCCTGTGGCCACACATGACAATTACAAGATAATTGCAAATACTAAAATGTCACATAACTGTTGAATAAATAGTCATAAAGTAACTGAACTGACTGAGTAACAATTCTATATATTAAACAATATCTATCTAACATTCTAACTAACTGACATCCAACATTCGTCACCGGGAGCTATTGGTCATACCAGACCAAGTAAGGTTGGTGCAGCTGAAGGCCATGAGTTGATGAATTCAGTAACGGTGTGAACAGAACTCCCCATGCACAGCCAGTATTTGTGACCAGGTGCTGATCAGTCGCAGGAACATCTTAGATGAAGATCACCTGTAGCTTCTTCAGTTTTGCTCAACAAATTTACTCACATGTGTGTTCAATACAAATGGGTCACATGACTAATTTTCACAGTCTTCACGTGTTTCAACATATTTTCAAAGGTCACCATGTATTATAAAACGTGACAATAATATTACACAAAATTACATCTTTCAAAAACCATGCTATGTTTTTTTAAAATGTTGTACACGTGTTGTTCACTTGTGATAGTCACAGTAAAGTAATTTCAGTAAGGCTGTGTTCGACTGCTTATGACTGCACATTTCAGTTTCAGTTTCAGTGTGTTGTTTTTCTTTTAAAATCATACTGTAAATTCTCATATAAAGCCAGTATTCAAATAATGTGAAGGATGAACAAATAAAGGCAAAAAACATCATGGGGGTTGCTCACATGGTAAATTCAGTATGATGTACATTTCCACAGCACTAACTCCATCAGTACAAGAACAGTCATGCTATACTCACCACTCTGCTGCTCTGGGTTTCTTTTTAAACAGAAATTATGTTTTAATTCATTCCAGTTGTTTTTTCGTTCTCCAATCAATGTTATGTTTACGTCAACAAAAGTCATATAAAGCAAGGCTATAAGACTTTTAACATGGAAATTCAAGCTTCAAGCTGGAGCACAGGACTTTTGCATATAAATGAAGGTCTGTTACATTCAAACCCTTGCCAAACGAATTTACACAATGCTGATTAAGCCTATTACCGCCAGGTAAATGGCACCAAATTCTGCATACAGCCTCGGTGGGGCATGGGATCATACTAGCCCAAATTTCGTGTCAATCTGACAGACCTATGCAGAGATATGACCTTGCTTCCTGTTTTAACATCAATCACAGGAAGCTGCATTTTTTTGTATTTTTTAAAAATAACTTAATATAGGTTATTTATATAGGATAGGTTGATATTTGTAAAATATCTGGAGTAGGCTATGTAGCTATCACATTTACTCTAGCTTAATAATGGATATTTGCCTTGGAACTGTGGACATTTATCTGTATTTTGTAACTATTTCTGAAAACAAGCCTGGTGTGAGCTCACCTGTAGGCATACGTCATGCGCACACATCAACAGAGTTTGTGTAATTACTCTCACTGCCAGAAGTGGCAGTGAGAGTGTTCTGCACTGCAGGATTAACGTCGTTTGTGGGAACACCTAACATGATCTGTGTCTGTTGTTGTACTGATGGAATTAGTACAGTGGAAGTGCTATGTGGTCTCTGTGGAGAAGCTGAGAAACAAAACAAGTGTATATTCTACAAGAAAAGAAGAAGAAGAGATCAAGATAGAGTGCTTTGTTGTGAAAATGTGTGAACGTGTGTGTGTTTGCTCTCTGTACTGACCTGCACCTCTGAGTCAGCGCTGACGGGTTGTAGCTGAAACCAGGTGTCTTTGCCGTGATATTTCTGCAGGTCCTCTTTCTTTACTGCAACCTTGCCTACACACACATTAACACACAAAGACAAATGAGCACAACACATAACTCACTTTACCCTTCCTAAAAAGCCTACGTGTTCAGATGCGAGCTACAAAGAAAACACACGCTCACATACTTGCTGTACTGTAAAATCCACATGCCAATCAATTTTTTTAATGCACGTAGGCACCAGGTGCAGAAATACTCACAAAGTCCACTGTCAGTGGCCTGGAAATGACCCTGTCATTTCAACACTGAAACTAACAAGTTACATTTTCTGTTTACAACACCCACAATCACCCACACATAAACAGGAGCTGTGATAGTGTTGCAGATACAAATCACGCCCTGAGAAAGGTTTTTCAGTTTGTGGTTGGTGGTCATAGACACACATATACAAACCCTGCAACATGCACATTGACACACCCAATAACACAGATAAAAACATCCGGCCCACACACAAAGAGATACAACACTTTGTACTGCTAAAAATCATCGGATAGTACTAGATCTCATTAAATATTTTGCCAATTTTAGACTAGGTTTCATTTTAGGGACAGTTACTCTCCCTTAAAAGGTACATTGTGTAAGAATTGAGACTACTCTTCACCTGTTGAATTCATAATCATACAAAAAAGGGGCAGCATATCACATATCAGGTGATAACTGGTGCTAACTGCTGTTAGCTAGTTAACTAGCTCAGTTAGTTAGGGGACCTATTATCTGCCGAGTCCAGAATGGCCACCAGAAACAGAGTATGGCGAGGGAGCAACGGAACCTGGCTCAGCAGCCTCCCAGTGATCACGGCAGGATCGGGTCGAACATAGCCTCTGACACTGATGGAGGCCAGTTTGATGACAAGGAATACAGAACTGAGGTGATTTATAGCCGCTCCAACCAGGACTGTGACACCGGGGATGACAAAGACATAGCGGGTTCAGGAGAGGCCCCAAGCGGGAGAAGAGTGAGAGGGTGATCAGAGAGGCAGCCAGAATATTTTCACATATAACTCTGTGTATTAAAGATATATTTCAACCAAAACAGAGTTGGTGATTGTTGAAACAGCAGAAAGACTAACCAAGACAGTTTTGGTGAATTTTATTGTGTTTCTGTCGTTTGATAGTGTGTTTTGCAATGAGTTAACAAGACAATCAGGTTTGAATGGAGAAAGTGTACGGTTGTATTTTTCTGTTTAATAAGGAAAATGAGAATATTTTCTTTCTTGACATTTTGTGAGGGTTTTTTTGTTTATTTATGAGATAAAAAAAGCTTAGAGAGCATGGGTAACATAGTGAACTCGCCGCACACAGGACAGGCCGGGGCTAGCTGGTTAGCATGCTAACTTCAGTGTACATCTCTACAACACAATACACAGACTTTGACTTAATGTCAGAACTGTTGAAAATATTAGTTCATTTTTTAAACTAAAATTCTGGCAATATCTGACCCATTGCACCTTTAAAGGAATAACCTGAAATATGCTTATTAGCTTTCAGCAGCAGTTTACTCACCGATACTGGAGTCCCTCCTGAAGACGTCCCTGTCGAAGATGTAGAAGGAGAGGTGTCTGAAGCTACGTGGGATCTCGCAGTAGAAGTCCTCCCCATAGAATGGACTGGAGGTAACACGAGACACAAAGCAAACAGTGATTCGAGACTCCGCTCATCTGATGTGTGTTTTACCACAAACGCAAGTGTGGTTTGTGTTTTGTTATCAAAAGATGAGAAGAAAGCATGTTGTGATTTGGCAGAATTATCAAACATAAAATACAAAATGCTTTAAAGTCACGTCTCTGTACCATGTTCTGTGTTAACTCTTACTTCTTTCCGTAGGTATTTACCGCAGTTATGTTGTACGCGCTATATAGCTCTTACTAGTATTTATTGCTGCTCTTACCAGTATGTATTGTCACTTCTCATCTCATACTTTATTGATGCTTGTATGTTGTTCCTCAAATGTAAGTCTACAGATCTGAAATGTCAAACCACTTTAATTATATGACCAAAAATCACACATTTACAGTGAACCAAACTTATCTCATAATTGTGAGAAAAGGTCTGTAATTTCTTTGGTCAATGCAATGTGCTTCCATACAAATTTTTAATATAATATTTTACAAACATGCTGTAGTTGATTGCTTACCTTGCAATACTTAATGAGCACTGGGCCTCACTGTATTTAAAAGTAGGCAGTCATGGAACCAATAGGCTATTACAGTAATTTGCTGAAAAACATATTTTAATCAATACTTGTCTTTTTCTTCCTTAGTTGGTTAGTTAATATAAAGTAATTTAATGTGGTATGTCATAAAAAGAGCGGCCTTCTGAAAGAATCCTATGAATTAGAGAAAAGTTATAACTATTTTACCCCATATATCAGATCACCTGCTGCCTTGTGCCGTCTTTTAATGACTAGATTATGCACAGAATCTATTTCGTGTAAAAACAATCAGTTGTGTGAGCGCCCTCTTGTTCTTGTGCTCTCACGCATTCTTTAAAATATCCATTAACTGACTAATTGAATGACTGGTTAATCTGTAAACGATTCCTGCTTCTGTAATATTTTTCAGTGTTGTCTGACTAGGTGTCTTTCATCATTCTTGCGAAAAGATGATTGATTTTGTCGATTAATTACATTAGACATAAATTAAAGAGCACATGTATTTGCACGTTGTCATGAGTCGTGTGGAAACCACAGCTTGTTTGCATGACAGCAACATATATAATGTGAACACACTCTACAGTCACAGAAATCAGGGCAATGGGAATCTCGTGAGGTGAGCCCTCAGGGTCACGGCTAACAATTACTGACTTAACGATAGGTGGATGGATAGGCAGGCAGAGGCATGACTGCATTTATAAACAATCCTACAAATACAGGATCCTTAAGTAAATGCAAGTCATATCTGTCAGTTGCAACTCTGTGTGTGCACAGGAAGGATCGCCCTTGTTTCCTCACCAGCCCAGCCAAAATCTCTAGGTTGGGTGTAATCAAAGTGGAAGGGAATCACAATCTATTCAGCCATTTATAATCTTAAGGTAACACTCTTAATCCTACATTCCTAAAAAAAACATGTGATACATTTACATTTATGTCCTTCATCTAATCCTAATATTTTCTCTTAAGTTTGGCTTGATATATGTGATATTTCCACTATTTATAGAGAAGTTGGCTGTGTAACAACACACTTTGATACAGAGCTCTTACATGGCCAACTAAATGTAAGAAATGTGCATATATCAAAAATATTTTCATGAGCCTAGCCCAAGCTATTAAAGGGGCAATTCTGTATTTCCAAAGTGTATTTGTAAAGTGTGAGCCTATGTGAACTGCTCAGTGCTCGTTGAAACTGATTTTAATGTACTAACCGATGAAAAGGTTAATCCATCAACAAATGTGACACGTATAATGAAATTACTACTACTACGACAGTGAAAACCCGACAGGAAATGAAAGGAGAAAGACAGATGGTGGATGACATGTAATAAAGGTCACTGGCCCGACTTGAACTGGCAACATTGAGATGATATGATCAGCATCTTGAATAAGACTGTGACCTTGTAACACCAGCTTAAAAAGGCAGGGAGTTACATGCTGACCTGTGAGAAAGCAAAGAGGATGAGAAACAAAAAGCTGCGTAGAGGACGTAGAAAAAGGGTCAAGGGGGGGCCCTCAACGTACCAGAGTGACTTCTCGATGATCTTGGTCCTGAAGACCTCTTCTTGGTCCAGGTTGACAGTGCAGTAGCAGTCCCTCATCCTGTTTGGCCCCGGGTACGGAGGGATGTTTTTTGCTTCCCCTGCACAAAGAAAAAGGGAGGAGAAAAAGCAGGAAGGAGAGAGTGAGCAGTTATTATTCAGGAACGCTGTTGTAGGCAATAACAATGTGTTCACTCAGGCACACTGCTATAAGTGATTACTTATTTAAGAACACTGAAAGCACGCAAAGTTTAAAAGAAAATAGCGTTATGTAAGTCCACACCTGTTTTAGCTTCAAATAACCTGACAGCACATATAATGAGCTTAGCTATGTCAAGGTGACTACTTTTACACTGGATAAGCAAATATTAAGCCATGCTGACTGAAACAGACATACAAAAAAACTATTTTTTCTTTCCAAACAACATGTGAAAACTGGGAGTGTGAGTATTGTCAGATCTGTGAATGAAAGAATCTGTGTGGAACATTTTCTGAATCCTGCTGAGGTTCAATCTGTTCATCAAACACGTGTGACAGATAGCACTCCCTTTCACAAGAATGTGGTCCAACCACCCACCAAGACACACGCATACACACACAAATGCACACACAAATACACAGGTGGTGCTTCAGTCCCTCAGGATCAATACATTCTCTTTTATGGATCCATAATAGTCAGTATTTGTTTCCTTATTGTGTTTCTCTTGGCCATGGGGACCCACAGGACTCTGTAGTCTATAGTTACATGTGTGTTAGTCCAACATTGTCATTGTTTGCTCCAATAACTTTCCAGCATCTCCATGGAAATCTGATGCTGCCATTCAGCCAACAAGCTGAGCTGCAGCATCACCTCTCACACTTTTTCTTGCTTTGAAAAAGTAACTTCTTCACAATGACAGCATGCGTCTGTGGCTGTCTACAAATGTACACCTTTAAAAGGTGATCCTCTAGAAGCCAACAGTTTTGGCTTGAGAAATTTAAAAATATGATTATTTTTTACTTCTTATATTGTTTAATTTGAAGGCTTTTTACCGGCCTGTAGAGGTAAAGTGTCCAGTATTTCACAAAAAATTGAGCAAGAATCGCAGGGGGAAAAACACTGTAACAAGCAAATGAATAACAATAGCCTGTAACATATAACTATACTAATATACTATTGGTAGCTTTTAGTCAACTTTTAGTCAACTATACCAATCATCATTTCTACAGTCTGTTCAAAGACAAACATTTCTGTTGCTACATAATGGCAGAACAACACTGTAGGGGAGAAAGAGGAGAAAGTTGACATTTGACACTGGATAACTGACTGTAAATCTGTAAAACAGATAGCTACCTTAATATTAATGAAGTCATTTTTAATGTCAATACATCTGCACATAAATGCAGCAGTCCCATTGGACTTTTCAATCAATTTACGCTCTCAACTCCTATAAATAGTAAAATGTCCACCTCAACTAAACTATGTATGGGAAACACTACACTGCACCCATTCACTTCTGACAGGATTTCCCAAAGAACTGCATCTAATCACAGAACCAGTTTAATACTATAAAAGGAAGAGGTGGTGCTGCGACAATGAAAACGTATCATGTGCCATCACACGGAGGAATGAAGCACCCACTAACTTGCGATCACACCGTTTGGATACACACTGGTAGGCTTATTCTGCAGCCATGAGACCAACCAGTTAAGAAAATGTCCTGCAAAAAATGGCACTATTTTAAAGGATATGTGTGGTGGTATTCTGGCCAGTTATGAAAGAGAACCTAACTGGTACATCTCTACCTTTGGTCCATAATTCTACACAGAGGATAAATATAAAACCATGCTGAGACAAGGCGAGGTGATTAAGTGCCCTCTGTGGGGTTTGTAATACAACAAGGTGTTATGGCTGATTCACACAGTGTGAGTGGATCATTACACAACAATTCACACTTATAGCATTCATTCACAAATTAAGACACCTGAGCTGTAAAAGGTGACACACACCCCACTACATCAATTTGTTGTTAAAGGCTGCAACTCTGTCTGTGTTTACATGTTGGAGCAAAGAGATGACGCAAGTCTCTCTTATCTCTGTCTTTATCTCTTTACTTCCCACTGTTATTAGATCTCCCTCCTGTCTCCTCTCTCTCTCATTTGTTCACCCACATTTATTTTATCTCCGTCCTGTAATCCTCCTCAGTCACCCTGCACTCCTGAATTCCCTCTAGTCTCTGTTTTCCAACTGCTCTCATTCATTATCTGTGCGTTCCCTTGATTGGACTGCACCATCCGGGTCATCCTAGTAACCAAAACATCATGGGATTACCACAGCTTTCTCAGCTCTGTGTGGGTGCATGTGTATGTGTTTAATGATGCAACATGCAATGTTAAAACAAATCCGAGCTACTGGAGAGCAGAAAACTTCTAAATAAGAATTTGTATAAAGTTTATCTTCATATTTTAAGGAAACTATGTACATCACATACGCATCTTTTACTCCAAATATTGTATTTTTTTAACATTCCTGCTGACCTTTCTCCAAAATTTCTGATGTGCATTTTTCCAGCAGGCAGATGTTTCAGCCCATGCAGGTGCAGGTGAAACATTTTCTGCATAGGTGGCTTTAAGTGCAGATGTGAAGCCTCAACATTAACATTTTTATTATTGGCCTCATCACAGATATATCACAGACTTACTACTTACGTACTTTTTATTTTCTTTTACTATGTTTACTGTACCAACACCAAGATAAATTTCTTGTTTGTAAAACCCAACTTGGCAATAGTTTAAAAAAAACATATGTTGGTCGAGTTAGTTTATCGATAAAAGTAAAATGCAACAAAATCCAATGGAAACAGACTTAGCGACTCAATCATGATGGTTATACAGCTGCTCTTTTAATCACGTCATCTTGTTGCACCCTCAATGGACCTAGGTTTGCATGCACCTGGAGAATTAGCGCCAGGAGCTGTTTATCTCCATGTGTTCAACTTCAAATTTTTGTATTTATAACAGTAGTAGTGGAAAAACACTTTATTTTGCATTTTCTCTTGCCGATTGTCTGTAAATTTGGTTAACATTTACGCTATGTTTGGAAGGAAACTTGGCTAATGCTTGAGGATGCTTACAAAAAAGTCATCAGTAATATAAATTTGCAATTTGTAGTTATTAAGCTAAAAGATGCAACAACAAAAAACACCAAGGAGGTCCCTTAAGCAGCATCAGCCCAGTCATTAGCACAGTTACAGTTACAGACATTGGTGGCATCTTTAAGCCTCCTGTTTAGGGAGAAGGAAGCCCTGGACAGATGAGTTGATAAGCAGCAGCCTTGGGAAGTTTACTACGACAGTGAGGGTGTGAACTATACAAGTTTCGGTTTAGTATAATTTTATGTTTGTGTTTGATGGAGAGTGAGTCTGTTACAAAAGAAAGGATAAGCCTCTCTAGTAGCCTACCACTCAACACGTTAGATTAAAGTCTTTATTATAAAACCAGAGTCTGTAATCCGCTGTCTCAGGCTGCCTATCATTCTCTCTAACTTTCTTTTTATCACGGTCCATTTGATAAAGTTTCTTCTTTTCCTTTTTGTATGAACCCCCTTTCGGTTTTGTCATAGTCGCCTCCATTTTCCTTTTCAACATTAGCTTTAACCTGATTTCACTTTCCTCTATTTCTGGTCGCTTCCCCTTTTTCATCTCTCTCTCTCTCTCTTTTACTTTCTCCAGAGGAGTGCGTTTGCTCTCCTCAAGATTCAAATAAGCAAAAAAAAAAAACAACAACAACAACAACAACAAGAGCAGCAGCTTTCTCTTTCATCAAGCATCACTGCTGCTGCCCTTGGAGAATATCTTGCCTTGGTATCTGAGCAAAACACACTAAATGTGTGTGTGTGTGTGTGTGTGTGTGTGTGTGTGTGTGTGTGCGCGCATACTCTGTGTTGTTCACGCAAAAACACGGGGGCGCTGAACAGAAGTGCACAGAAATAATGATGACAGGAACACCCCCAAGAGGGCGAGAGTGAAAAGGAGCGGATTGACACATCAAAAAAATGTTGACTCCCCACGTCATTCCTGTGGAGGAAAGTGACGAAAAGGAGGCAAAAGACGGAAGAAATGAGAAAGCACAAGTGATTGAGCCAATGCAATGGACGCAGTGAATGTGCAGCTTTGTTCCTCTTCCTCCTCTGTTGACTAGTCGGCCACACTCACGCATACAGTTACAGAGACGCCGCTCCACTCGTTATTCTAATCTTCTCTGACATGAACACATTCGAGGATACACAGGCGTGAATGCTTTCGGAGGCTGTGCGCTCGACTAGCAGGCCTGGGAAACACAGGCTTTAAGGAAAGGAATAAGGGGGCGGGGGAGGGGTGTTACTGAGAAAAATACAAGCAGTGTACTCAATCAAGGGTGAGAGAGGAGGAAGACTGAGAGAGAGAGACAGAGAGAGAGAGAAGTCAGATAGAAAACTGGAGAGCAGTTAGCTTTGGAGAAAGCTACAACAGGAAATGAGATGAGGAGAAAGGAATTTCAACTGAATCCAAGATGTAGTTTAAAAACAGTGAACAACCCATTTACCCCTGAGTGTGTGTGTGTGTGTGTGTGTGTGTGTGTGTGTGTGTGTGTGTGTGTGTGTGTGTGTGTGTGTGTGTAATGTGAAAGACTGAGAGACACCGTGAGAATGGAAAGAAGGACTGAAACTTGCACAAGCACAATTTATTATCCCACTTAGTTCCTTTGATGCTCCTAAGCAGAGAATCAAAACAAGAACCGAAACAAAACTGTTTTGTCATTAGTGTCTGTCTGAAAATGACAAGGCATTACACCCACAGACGCCTACTCTGTGGATATTCACTGTAGTCACTTTCACAGTAAAATATTCTTCTATCATTGAAACTAGGGGCTGTAACTTGCATTTATTTTCATTATCAATTTACATTTTGATTACTTTCTCTATTAACTGATTTACTCCATAAAATATCACAACAACACTGATTAACACTGGTGTTCAGATCTCAAAGTCATGTCTTACAGGGTTTGTCCTGCAATTTAGTTTTGCACTTTTATAACGTTGGTGCACTTGTGAGAGACTGATTAATACAAGAATGAGACATCC